ATTGTGGTGGTCGTTTGATTGGTTAGCTGAGCCCGGAAGTCACTGATTGGAGCCCCAAAATCCAACAGTCCCTTATAATGATGAAAGTTGGCAAGTCGATTCTATTAGTATAGTCCCTTATAAATTAGTCGATTGACTCTTGCACATTGAGTACGGAGAATATAGCCTCTGCCCGTATCTGTGCCTGTTTAAAGTCCATTTCAAATTTTAATTTTCTATCACACAAAAAGAAAATAATTAGCATCATTTTTAAATGGAACATGAATTGTTCTACAACTTGAAAAAAAAAAATTCATTTTCACCAACTATAAACCTGAGAAAAATAAAATAAACGGGACGATAAACGAGGCAAAAGAAAAAAATATCCAACGGGACGGAAAACGAGAATGAATACCCAGATTCTGAGCCGTCCTGTTGTCATTCCTAATCGAGAGACATTGAAGATGTAAGATATGTATATTCGTGAATGTTTCTTGATGAACGTATTCGATATAATAGTATAGTTTGTTATAATGATGAAACTTTGCAAGTTGATTCTCATAGGAATTCATGTTTCTTTAAATGGAATTGCAGTGACGAACAAAAGTTTGAATATCAAAAGAATATTTCTTTACGAAGGAATACCACCAAATATTAGAAAAATTTACAAAATGTTAGAACATTAGTCTAGATATAAGCATGTGATAGGTCATAATAAATGAGTTATAATTTTTTGTATTTAATTGAATTTATAATTTAATGATACAAATAATATGATGCTAAATAATATTACACTTTACAAAATACAACCTCAACTTAAGGTATATCTACACTTTCCTCTCCATTAAATTCTCCAAGGAAACTTCGTGGAAGCTCACTCATGGCTCCTGGACTCTTCTCATCCATATAAGTCTCATTTATCCCTCACCATTTCACTCTCAAACCCTTAACTCAAATACGTTTTTAAAAAGCTCTTCAGGAAGAAGAAATCTCAACCCATTCCTGGATCAGAATCCGACCCAGCTTCTTTCAGTTCGTCGGATGATTCTGAAACTGGGTTTAGTAACCCCACAAATGGGTCAACCATGCCAACCAGCATTCTACCTGCCGAAGAATTGTTGGAATTTGAGTTAAAACAACGGTTTGAATTGATAGACAGAGATGGTGACGGGAAGATAAAGAAGGAGGAGCTAGAAGCGTTATTGATCCGTGTCGGAGCCGAACCGTCGAGTTAGGAGGAGTTGAGGCTGATGTTGAGCGAAGTAGATGTAGATGGCGATGGGTGTATTAGTTTAGGAGATTTTTACGTGAACGGCTCGGCTTTTGGGCCTCGGCGTGTGACGCAGATAGGGGTGGGCAAACCCCGACCAAACCCACCAAACCCGCCCAAACTGAACCAACCCGATC